AATAATCATACTACATACTATATACTATATACTATATATACATAATAATATAATATTTATAATTTTTATTTGTTATTTATATAAGAAGCATATATATAATAAAAACTTAAACATACAATAATAAATATACAAATATTTTGCAATATTTAAATTCATACAATGACAATGATAATATTATAAATTGATACCATCAATGAAATTTATACATATTATACAAAAATTTGGATCATGTGACAAAAATCATTGATGTATTTCATTCGTATTTGTATTTCTATTGAATCTTATAGTATATTTTTCTCCATATGTATATGATTAAATAATTGTTTTATCTATGCCAAACAAAAAAGAAAAAAAAATAATATGTAAGAAATGTTTTTCTATATAAACTCTAATAATTATAAAATTTAAAATAATTTTAATTTTCACTCATCATAGGAAAAAATACTATAAAGCTTATATATCGTAATAAAATAATTATAAGTGGAAAAGTTTTAGACAATGTTAAAATACAGTTTCGTAATGTAATTTTAAATCTTAAAAGTAATACAATCTAAAAATTTTTTAATCGAAATACATTAAAAATATTAAATTTTATAATAATTATATAGTATTTCAATCGCATTTCTATTTATATTATTATTATTACTTAATCGGCATTTTAAAATTTATAATATTACAAAAATTTATATTGTTACAAAAATAGATACAAAAATTGTAGATATAAAGATAAAAGTGTAGATATTGATCATGTTCTTATTATATATATATATATAAAATCTAACCGAATATACATATAAGCGAATATATAATATATAATAACATATAAACGAATAAGAAATAAAAATTAGAATAAAATTTTTTCGTTTCGTCCTTTTCGAGAAAATTAAATTTTTTGAAGAGTGATTGCTTTGTCTTCAATTAAATATAAATAAATTACGAAAGAAAATTCTTTTATATCTGAAAATATGCAAAAATTATAGAATTTTGAATTTTTCCTTTTTAAATGATATCTATATATATATACTTTAAAATGTTATAACATTTAAATATTATATAAATATATTTTTATATTCACATACATTAATATCTGATTGATATATCATAAATATAAAATTATATCAATAATTATATTAATACATTATATCAATACATTATTATTTCATACATAGAATAAATATATATTATTATTTCAGGAAAGAGCACATTTTTAATGTAATAAATAGACAATATCCCATAAACCATTTGAATAAAAATAATAATAAATTATACGAAAAAAAATTATAATTTTCGTTACCTGAAATATTACATTGCCAAGAAACAATGTCAATAGCAATAATTTCTGAATCCACATATAAATTGAATTATTGTACGGCCATAATCCTACGATTTTCAACACAGTACGATAATTATTCTACTGTTCGTCGAATACATCCATTTTTGTAGTCAGATGTCATATAGAACTCAAAGAATCATTCGACTATACTTCGTCTTAATATATTATTTATTATTATTTTTCTCTGTCGTATTTTCATAGTGTTATTTTTTAAAATAATAATAGTATAATGTGTAGCAATTGCAATAAATTACAATTGATCGATTTTATGCATATTTTCTGCAAAGAGATTTTCCATAATAGATATTGATTTCGAGAAAATTATAGTTTTCAAGTTTGTATTATTTGTATTTGTTTGTATTATTAATCTTTATTGTCGTTTTTTATATTCCTTCATTCTTTTCTTATTCTTATTTTTTTCTCTTCTTTTCCAAGTGTTGAGAAAATGAAAATTTGTTACATTGAATAGTGTCTTTAAGTTAACTTATAAATAAGAAAACTTCTTTGTTATTTATATTATTTATTTTATTCTATTACGAATATTTTATATCATTATTTCATTCAATGGGAGTAACAAAGAGAAATTGGAAGAGACGAATAAAGGACATTTTACTTGAATGGTAATATATGATTTTATGTGAGAAATATTAATGTATTATAATAAATATAATGTATTGTATTAATTATTGTCCAAAATATATGTCCAAAGTAATTTTTATATATTGAATACTGTATTAATATTATAAAAATAATTATCATTTCAAACTATTTTATAGAAGGCAATTATTAACATTTGAACGAACAATTTTATTATTTTTAATTTAATTTTGAACGAAATTGTACATTATTATAATTTATGTAAAATAATATGAAGCATAAATAAAATATTTTAATAAAATCCAATATAATTTTATTAGAAATATATGATAGAAAATATGTTTAAATTTATAATCTCTTATTATTGGAATTGAAAATGCTAAAATCAATTTGAGAATAGAAATGATAAATAATGATTATATAATTTTATAATTATTGACGTAAATCTATAACAAAAAACAAATAAATTTATAAGATAATTCGAAAAAATATTTATAAAACTTTTTTAAGATGCTTATTAAGCAAAACATAAAATGAAAAATAATATACATTATAAATTAATTAGATTTAAATTAATTAGAATTAAAAGAACAACAAGTATTTATTGTTTTTTTAATATTTTTAATTAATTGTTTAGTATTCAAAAACCAAAATAATTTTTTGACATTATTATTTTAATATTATAAACTTAAGAAAATCTATAAAATGTATAGAAAATAGAAATATTAAGAAAAAACAATCAAAAAATTTTTGAAGAATTTATTTCTAATCACTAAATAATTGAAAGAAGTTTTTTAATTTTCTGAATTTTTTGTATAAAACTTTTTGAAATTCTGTAAAAACTCTTCAATATATTACATGAAAAAGAATCATGTAGGGAAAAATTTTGGTTTTTGAATTCTTAGAATTTGGAATTCATAATCTCAAAAACATCTATTTTGAAACAACATATTATCATTATAACTAAAAAATATATATATTTTTTTATAATTTTTTCATAATTTTTTCGATTCATTTTTAGATTCATAATTTATATTATTTTCTAATCAATCCAATATTTTGTATTTATTGTTCAACGCACGAGACACAAAAAATTATATCATTTTATATGTCATTAATTTTAAGAAAGATGATAATGTATATTATGATGTTATATTATATAATAATCATTAAATATTAAAACTAAATATATATATAAACATAATAATATTTAATAAATATATAAATATGTATAAATATATAGAATATAATAAATAAACATATATAGAATAAATAAGTGGTGAATTAACATATTTACATAGATATTTGACAATTCTTTAAAAAATCCTTTAGAAATTTATTCGTGACTCCTTAATATTAAAATTTAAAATTTTTCTTCTTATCATTCAATTATCAATTCCATCAATATGTGATAATAATTTTTATTATGATATCGTTTTCATTTTTATATATTCGAGAAAATAAAGTTATAGATATTCCACAAGTATTCTATTATATTCTATTTATATTCTATTTATATTATATTTGTTGGAAAATGATAGAGGCCTAATGCTTGAATTAAATTGTTAAATAAATAATTCTAATAAACTAAAATCTAGAAAATTTTAATATAATATAATATTTTGATATTTTAATAACATGCAATATATATATTAACGAAAACTATTAATTATATATCAAATTATAGTAAATTCCAGGATAGTATATATAACATTATATACCATTATAACATTATATACCATTATAACATTATATAACATTATATAATATTATATATAAATTCATGGATAAATTGTTGTAAAAATGTTTTATTTAAATCCATAGATAAATTATTCTGATTACACTTAATTATTCTGAATTACACTTAACCTATCTACTTGCTGAAATCCGTAAAAACAAATCAAAATTCCCATAAAATTTCAAATTAGTTAAGATGAATATATTTTTCTTTATTATAATTAGTAATTCGATTATCAAAATAATTTTATTCGGAGAAATTAATGAAAATAATGTTAAAATGATAATGTGAAAAATGTGATAATGTGAAAAAAAATGTAATATGGAATATTAATGGATATAAAACATGTGATTAAAATATATTAATGCGATTAAAATATCGATATTGAATTTTAACTATTATTTCTGTTAAAATTTAAACTAAATGATTTTGAATATTCTACAAATGAGATGTCTGAATTGATGATATTACTCAACAACCACCTACTATCGTAGGACTGTATGAATTATATTTGAATAAATAAATAAATAATGATTTAATTTTAATGTTTACAGCTAATGTTTGACTGATTGTAATGATTCTAATTGTACTTTGATTTGTATTGTCGTTAAATTCTATCTGATCTAAATTCTATTTTTTTTTTTTTAATTGATCTGATCTAGAAAGTTTTCGCGGATCTTGATTTTTCCTCCAATCATTATTTTCCGCGAATTAAAAAAAGGATTAGAGCAATCAATAGTGATATTGATCATGGAGGACGGTTTCGAAGATGACATTGCACCGCGTGGAGATCAAGACTCTTGCCATCATTTTCCATAGTAATCACTCGCAAAAAAAATAAACAAGTATGAAATGTATGTATCTCAATGCTTTTGTATCTCTATTTAGATTGAAGATCTGAAAACTGTACTTGCTCGTAAATTACTGTTAGACTATTGAAAATTGTAAGCTGAAGAAATAACCCTTAAATAATAGATTAAAATTTAATTTGCATAATTAAAAATAATAAAAAATTTTTTTTTAAAAAACTTTATTATTGCTTCCAAAATTTATAATCAGCTTATTCGAAGGAGTTTCTCACATGGAAATTTTTTTTCATCATTGTCGATCCACTATTATCGATTTTCACTAACTTAAAACTAAACAAAAAATAATGTTGCCTGAGAAGATTGCTATTTTTAAAGAGAGTTTAATCGATACTTACAATTGCATATTTTTCACATACTTCAGCTGATTTATATCGCGAAATATTAATTTAATGTGTATAAATTTATGTAAAATTTGTCACTATTTAAAAATTACTATTATGCAAATGTATTATTATAGGAATCTAAGAAAATATGAGGGAATANAAATTCAAAAAGTTGGGTATTTATTACCTCATAATAATTTCCTCCTTGTCATCATTTGTTCGTATTTGTTTTTGGATAGGATTTTTACTATATTATTAATATATTAGAATTAAACAATAAGCACCATATTAATTAATTGTTATATGTTAATATTATATATTAATATTATATATTAATATTAATTAAATGTTATAAAAAAATTGATACAATTTATTTAATATAAATTAATTAAATTAAAATGTAATATAAATATTATATGATTTAATATAAATGATATAAATGTTTAAGCACACATATTAAAAATGAAATGGTTATTTTCCCCTAAAATTAAGAAATAAATATACGAAATAATAATTATTCTAAATTAATTATAATGATAGCAAAATGATCAATAACAAATAACATAGATTAATTAGCAATTCAAAATTTTTGACTAAGAAAATATTAACAAAAAAAAAACAAATAAAACAAAAGACAAAATGAAATACAGTAATAATAATTGTTTATTTCAATATTAATACATTTAATAAATGATATTATCAATTCTGTTGTATCGAGTATATCAAAGTAAAATATGAAAACGAAGTGCTCAA